AAAGATCTGGATTTCATTTCATGACTTTGGATAATTGCTCTTAAATTTGTTTATTTAGTTGTTAAATAAGAATAACTAATGCACAGCATTAGAACAAGAAGATATTTGGGTAAACTGTCGCCGCGTGGGACTGCATAGGCTGACTTGAGAAATTATTTTTTAAATTTAATGAACAAAAAGCATTCAATATCTAACTCCTTCCTTCCTTTTTACTGATTGAATGTTTCTGGTGAAATTCTCAAAATATGATAGTTCCACCCAAAACATGTTATCCTCCTTATACTCCCCTACATCTGTTTCGAACTTTCTTCACTCTCTTCCAGGACCTACTGTTATCTATTCCTATCTCCAAATAGTATCCTATTTTGCTCATTTAAATTGATTAATACCATGGACACAAACCCTCTCAAGTTCCACCTCACTTTTCCTTCTAAGGTTAACTTAACCTTTCTACCAGTATATCAGAATGTGGTGTATTTTCTTCAAATGGTATTTCGATCTTCTATTATCAATGTCTAATTATATTTAATTTTTTATGGTGCTGGGATTGAACCCAGGGCCTTCCCTACCCATACTAGGCGAGAGCTCTACCTCTGAGCCAGTATATGTTTTTTTAAGCTTAGACCCTTTCTCTACTTTCATACAGAAGTTGCTTCTATTAAAAAGAAAATCCATGGGCTGGGGTTGTAGCTTGGTGGTAGAGTGCTTGCCTAGCACATGTGAGGCCCTGGATTCGATCCTTAGTACCACATAAAGATAAGTAAATAAAATAAAGCTATTGTATCCATCTACAACTACAAAAAAAAATTTAAAAAAAAGAAAATCCATTCTTACAATTTATTGTTAGTATTCCAAGTTCTCAATAAGATTTGCCTTCCCTGACTATACCTCACCATTTCCCTTACTCTCCTTTTTTTTTTTTTTTTGTATTGGGATTGAATCCAGGGCCCTTAACCACTAAGCCACATCTCCAGCCCTTTTTCTGTATTTTATTTAGAGACAGGGTCTCTGAGTTACTTAGGGCCTAAATTGCTGAGGCTCGCTTTGAACTTGTGATCCTCCTGTCTCAGGCTCCCGAGCTCCTGGGATTACAGGTGTGCGCTACCACACCTGGCTTCCCTTACTCTTTACCTATAAATTTGCTATTTGCCTTTGTATTACACTATTGAAAAGACCTCCTAAAATCCAAAACAAAAGCCCTTTTATGATTCCTTTCTTTTTTTAAGAGTGTTTTTTTTTTAACATTTAATTTTTTTTGGTATAGATGGACACAACATAATGCTTTTATTTTTATGTGTTGCTGAGGATCAAACCCTGATGGAGCCTGTGCTAGGCAAGCACTCTACTGCTGAGCCACAATCCCAGCCCCCCCCCTTTATGATTTCTCACCTTAACCTGTCTCACTGAAAAACTCTCTTGACTTGGCTTCTGGGGCATTATATTCTTTGGCTTTCCAACCCAGTCTACAAAGAGTAGTGCTTAATCCTTCTAATGCAATGATTTGACAGGTTATGCTTGAAAAATCTTTTAAGGTTACCTGCAGCCCATAGAATTAAATTTAAGCCCTCAGCTTGCTGATGAAGGCACTGCAGCTGTAACTTTCCTGGCTTCTATCCCACCTGTCTTAAATTTTCTCTTTCCTCCCACCATCATGGTTTACTTGCTATTTTTCAAACATTTCCAGTGCTTTGATATTTCATTATTACTTCAATTCTATTTTCCTGCTTTCAAAGTCCAGGGATCCTTCCAAACCTAGGTCAAATGAAACTTCCCAGCTGGGCCACAGTGGCACAAAACTGTAGTCCAAGCTATTCAGGAGGCTGAGGCCGGAGGATCACTTCAGTTCAGGAGCTCAAGACTAGCCTGGGCAACACAGTGAGGTCTTATCATAGACAAACTGTCATTTTTTTTCATGAAGCCAGCTAAATGTGCCATCTTACACTCCTTAAGTGTCTATAGATAAAAGATTAATAAAACTCTTTGTGCTCTATGGACAAATTGTGGGTTTCCTAGCTCTCTGTTCTTGGAAACACAATGGCACAATAAACTAGCAAACTTGGTCCTAGTAAAAATACATCTCTATTGGTACATCACACCTAAACTGGGAGAAACTACAACTACCTGCTGGAAGACATGGCCTCATGTTTCTCTGAATGCAGACTTTTGTTACTGGGGGATGACTCCCGCAGGGACTTACTCTGTGGAGTTGGCTCTTGCACTTAATCTATCTTTTCTCTTGCACCTGAGCTGTCTGTGTTTAGAATAATTCCTGGGTTGCTGTATGAAGTGCCACAGGGACTTCTCCCATGGAGGAGAAATACTTGCTGCTGCTGGGTTGGCAAGTTGTTTGCTTTTAAATACCCTTGTGCCAAAGGTAATCTCCTCCGACCTTGTGAATCCAAATAATTGAGTCTAAAAAAGGTCTCTTTGACAGGCATTAAGATTCATTAGGTAGCTTACAGCTATTCAAGATCTTTGGGATTAAACCCTTGTTTTTTCCATTTGGCAAAATTTCTTTCTTTTTTTTTTTTTTAAAGAGAGAGTGAGAGAGGGGGACAGAGAGAGAATTTTAACATTTGTTTTTTCTTAGTTCTCGGCGGACACATCTTCGTTTGTATTTGGTGCTGAGGATCGAACCCGGGCCACACGCACGCTAGGCGAGCGCGCTACCGCTTGAGCCACATCCCCAGCCCCTCCATTTGGCAAAATTTCTGTGGTATTGCTCTGAACCTATTTTTTCCTCATTAATAGAGAAATTCTTTTCTATTTCAAGGGGTTATTGTGATGATTAATGTGAAATGTTTTCCAAGTAGCAAAATGTTATGCCTAAATATTGATACTCATATTATTAGGCTAACATATAAATTAACATTTCTCCATCTAAAAGTATCCCTACAGAGTAATTTTTTTTCTTTCTTTTTCTTAACAGTACTGGGAAATGAACCCAGAGTGCTCTTCACTGAGCTACATCCCCAACCCTTTTTTTTGAGATACTGTCTCACTAAATTGCCAAGGCTGGCTTGAATTTGCAGTCTGCCTGCTTCAGCCTCCCAGGTTGTTAGGATTACAGGCATGTGATACTGGACCTGACAAGTAATATTTATCAAATAGGTCATATATTGATCCTGATTTTCATCTCAACCTTGATAACAGTCTGATAAAAGCTGATGTAATCCTTAAAGAACTGCCCCATCCCATTCCTACCAATGTAGCCTGTTCTGTTTTTAAGACAGTCCAAACTATGTGCTCATCCTCATTGAAAGTAAAACAGCACACCATCACCAAGGCATAGAACTTGTTTGGGTATTTAGTGAGTTGCTGGAAATATTTTAAGCCAGAGAACTGAAGTGAGACAGTTGAAATCTTCCTTTTATACTCTGGCAAATTCTTAGATTAGGCAATGAAGAACAGATGTAGCCATTAACAAGAAAAATTTTGAAAATCTTCAGGTATATGAAACAAAGTATGGTAGGCTAGAGAATCAGGATTTTAGTAATTTGTCTACTAGGTTCCACTTTGGGTAGTGATATATCACTAAATATGCAGAAATTAAAACTTTATTACTTATGTTTGGGGCAAAGCCGATCAATCAATATACCAAATATACCAAACAACATAGGGACAGTGGTTGTAGCTACCTGTTTAAGATTCTACCTTAGCAAAAAGGCTTTTGTTTCACTTCTGTGTAATACCAGACATAGTTAAATGTTTGCTTATTCCAGTCCTACTCTTTACCTTACACTTTTTAAAAATTCATATTTAGTTATAGATGGACACAGTACCTTTTTCCTATTTTTATGTGGTGCTGAGGATCAAACCCAGTGCCCCACATATGCTAAGCGAGCACTCGACCTATGAGCCAGAACTCCAGTCCCCCTTATGCTTTTAGTGATTCAAAATCCCATTCTCCAGATTTGTTCTTGATATGAAGCCAAGATCATATCTGTTAGAGAAATAAACTCTATAAGCAGGGCAGGCCAAGTGAAAAACAGTACCATCTGACTTTTCTTTTTGCAGTGCTGGGAATCAAACTCTAGGCTTCATGCATCCCAGGCAAGACTCTCTACTGAGCCAAATTCCCAGCACTACTTACTTTTCTATTTATCTTTTTTTTTTTCTCTGAGACTTCGGCGTTAAAATCTGACCGATTCACAGTGAAATTTTAATCCACTGCTATACCTTTGTCAGATACTCTAATTCTCCCCAAAATCTACCAATCTGAAGATTGTGTGTTAAGACACTAGCCATCTGGTAAAGTGATAAAAGAATAAGGGAGCATCCATGTATTTGATGACTGGAAGTATAATATGGTAAGTCCAATTCACAACACGACTCTACGTTAAAAGGAAGATCATTTTGTACTTTTCTGTGGGCCTTCCCTCGCCCATATGGCTTCCATACAGAAGTGGATAAATGAATATTCAACTGCTGAAGGCTCTGACCAGGGCCCAAGGACCTCTCAGAAAGAGCACTTGGTCAAAGCCAAGGAGCTTATCTGGCTGCTGCAGCAGGCAAGCTGTTTTTTTCCAAAAAGTCTTTTACAGATGGTCGTGAACTTAAGGCAGTGTGAAAGTTATATGCGTTCAGTAGAGTGATGCTGGGTAATGGCACTGACACCTAGCTCCTAGTTGGCCACATGACCACAAGGGGAAAATACTGTACTGCATTCCTCTGTTTAGGAATATTGAAGACATTTGGTCTTAGGATATTTTCAACTTACAATGGGATTATGTCCTGATAAACTCATTAAATATAAGTCCAGAAGCATCTGTATGATGTTTGTACCAATGTAGATATAAGCTTTGGAGCTACAAATGAGATTTGCTAGACAAATGAGGTAGGTAATAGCTTATTTCACATAAACCACAGCAAAATGTGTTCAGCATTGCCTCAAATTCTTTTGTGTTGTGGCCTACTGGTTTTAAAATTGATAATGTTTTACAAGATAATCCAGTGTTCTGAAGTAAAAAAATAAACAAACAAAAAATCACTCAGTGAGAAACCATTAACTAAAGAACATTTATTTATTTTTCACTAAGACTTTATCTTGAGGACATAACTAAACTGTGTCAACCACCCCCCACCCGATCTTGAAGGGTTAGTACAGTGAATGTATAAAGCAGATATGAATAGTTCGAAGGACTGGAACCAACATAAACTGACAAAGAGCAACTGCAACCTAAATCATAAAAATGTTTAAGTAAAAAAAAAAAAAAAAAGGAAGAAAGAAAAAGGGGGCAACTGGGGTTTCAGATTGAAAAGATCCTCAAAGACCCTCACATTTCATCTAATACATTCAATCTTGGCCAGAGTGTAACAAAATGGAAACAGGATTACTATAATACAAAACTTTCACTACAGCACGCTGTACACACCTGTGTTCCAAGCCCACCCCCAGCCCCCTAATGCTTCCAGCTCAATTATTTCCCAGCCTGTTGAGCCTGCCGACGAAGGAGCACGTAGATCTTCTCTTTGATCCAGTCTTTGTTATAAGGCTGGTATGTCTGGGTATCAGCTCGGTAACTGAGGAACAGAAAGGTCAAAAGTTACAGTAGTCAATTACTGTCACATGTTTAAACCTCAAATTATAACTGTCCCATGATGGCAACGATGTGCACACTCCAATCATGATCTCAATGAAAAAGCTGCTTATACAGCTGCTAATTTTTAACCAAAATGAACTTCAGATCACCTAGTATAATCTTATCGTGGGAAAAGAAACCAAGGCCCAGAGCTCTTAAGTTAAATGCTCAATATGTCACATACTTCTCAGCAGAAGGTTTTCAGAGCCCATAGTACACTTAATAGCCAATCACTTAAGGTTAAGGTTAATCACTTAAGACTTGGAAAAAGATAAATTTTCCATCTGACCATGTGTTCTTTCTCCCACACAGTTTCTATTTTTACAGTTCCTTTTGTGATTAAAAAACAAAACCAAACACTAGTATAAACTTTAGATTTGGTAAATTTACTTTTGAATTAACTAAGGAATCTTAAACATACTGGAAAAGAGTTCCTGCTGATTTTTCATATATGATTTTATTTTTTAAATAGTGCTAGGGATTGAACAGGGCCTCATGTGTATATCAGACAAGCACTCTACTACTGAGCTACATCTCCAGTCCTCTCCTGCAAAAGTATGTTAAGAGAAGTAATCTTATAACCTATATCTTGGCTAGGTCTGGGTATGCTGGTGCACACCTATAATTCCAGCTACCTGGAAAGCAAGGGAATCCCAAGTTCAAAGCCGGCCAGGGTAACTTAAACTTAGCAAGACCTGTCTCAAAAAAAAAAACATAAAAGGGCTGCCACATAAAAAACATAAAACTTGCCAGCAAGTTTCTCTGGGCTCTATCCCCAGTGCTACAAGTAAATAATTACTGTAAGACGCCTGTAGAGGAGAATTATCAGAACACATAGCAATCTCCAAAACCTCTCTTAGCAGAAGAGAAGGGTGAAGGTGTAAAGAGTAGCACTAGCAATAAAACTTCCATTGGTTTTCAGAGCCCACAGTACACTTTATAGCCAATCACTTAAGTTAATCATGCTAAAACTTGGAAAAAAACTTTCCAGCTGACCTACAACTGAAATCTAGCTGTTAAGAATACATTCTTTTTGGAGTCCCCCATCTACAGTTACAGTATAAAAAAGCAATAAGCCAACAGAGATTACACAAATACAGTGAAGTGTTTCAAAGCTGTGTGCACCACCTGGTGGGAATGCCACACAGCATCCCAGAAAGATAAGAGCCCTGGTTTACCTTCAGGGGTTCACTCAGTTTGCCCAAGAAGATACCTTAAAAAAACAAAGTATCTGATTTATCAGTTATATCTCATTTTAGCCATTTAAAAAGTCTTCATTTTAAAATTTCTCAGCAAAAAATTATACCAGTAAGTACTTAAGACTTTACCAAATACTAGCTACTGTTTTAAATGTTTGTTCCTTTTTGTAACCCTGTACAATTACGATTACTTTTTAAAAATATTTATTTATTTATTGGCAGACACAACATCTTTGTATGTGGTGCTGAGGATCGAACCTGGGCGGCACGCATGCTAGGCGAGCGCTCTACCGCTTGAGCCACATCCCCAGCCCCACGATTACTTTTTTATAAGTAAGTCATCATAGGCTCAAAGAAGTGAAGCAACTTAATAGCTAAGTGATACTGAACAAGTAAAAGCTTATACGCTCCTAACATCATAGTCCTCACTGTTAACTACCCACCAAGCTAGAAACCTGCATACCAATTTTTGTTAAGGGAAACAAATTCCAAAGTAGGAATGCTTTATACAATGACCATCACATTTTTCCTCTGGTGAGGCCAGAACTGGTTTATTAAAAAAATGCAAAAGTTTTCCAATTTGTAAAAATTATTAACCAAATATTCTACTAAGCAACCTTGTTACAGTGAGAAACACTCTAAAAAGTAAGATAATTCTCGGCTGGGGTTGTGGCTCAGTGGTAGAGTGCTCGCCAGCATGTGCAAGGCCCTGGGTTCAATCCTCAGCACCACATGAAAATAAAATAAAGACTACAACTAAAAAAAGATTGGAAAAAAAAAAAGAAAGAAAATAAAGCATTTGCCTCATGAGATGTGTGAGGAACTGGGTTCAAACCCAGCACCACATAAAAATAAAAAAAAAGAATTCTTTTACTGTCATCTGTTCAGGCTTCCTAACTAAATTAGGTGTTCCTAACTAAATAGGTGCTAATCTAATCTACTTTAGGGTGTGGCAGAAGAGACTATAGTATTTTTATTAACATTGAAGAAGAATTAAAAACAGAATTTCTCAGAACTTTCATACCTGGATGGGAGAGAGACCATTCCATCCCACAAAATCACTCCTACAAGCTATTTTCCAGCTCATGAAATAATAATAATGCCTTCTTTATGGAAGGCTGTAAATTGATGGCTTTTAACTAGCATTTGAAAATGTGACAATTAAATGTTAAGTATATTAATAAAATTCTTAGCTATTGGTACAAATCAATCTTTCAGCCCATTGTTTCTGTAAATGCATGCAGGCATTTATCATAACAATCTGAGGGTCTGAACCAAGAAATAAATCAGCACTGTCTCTGCTGATATCAGATTGCCTTCCTGATTAGGAGTACCTTCTCATTACAACAGTTGTGGAAGAAAATATCACAAACAAGAAAATCTTGTACATTCAAAAGGCTATTTTCATCTTAAAACATAGGTGAGAAAACTGAAACAAGTTCGACAAATTCTGTCTAAATTTCTATTAATATAGTTTGCCCTCGGTTTCATCAAGTTATACATTCCATTTTTTTGTTATACCGTTTTTTTAGTTTAATATATTTTTTTTCGTTGTGATGTTGATGATTCAACCTGGTTCTGGCATGCTAGGCAAGTGTTCTACCACTGAGCTGAACCCTGAGCCTTATACTGCTTTAAATAAGAGGTTTTGGGGAAAAGGATTTTAAAAAGTTGTGGGTTAGGTTGAGGTAGGAGGACTGAAAGTTCGAGGACAGCCTGGGCAACTTATGAGAGACCCTCTCTTAAAATAAAGGGCTGGGAACGTAGCTCAGTGTAAAGTATGCTCATAAGAAGTGACACAACAGTATGTGACCTCTTTGGAAATATTTTCACTAGGATATTCAAATAACAAATGAGACACAAGCTAAGTCATGTGGGAAAAATAGTTCTAAATCCTAAATTCAATTTTCAACATTAGAAAAAGAAACACAATTTAACCTACAATTTATTGCTTTTCAAAGAGACAATTAAAAACTACAGATTACCATTTATCTCTCTCATACCTGAATTACATGAGCTGGAAAGAATTATCTAGGTAATACTATCTTAGCAAGCTAGATACATTTAAAAGCACAAAGTTATATCCTATCATGAAGTAACATACTTGCAGAATGTCCCTTATAATCAGTGTTTTACTTTGTGTGCTTTTTGTGTTGCCAAAAACCGGAAACATTTTTAACAGCACAATTTATCATTATGGAGATTGAAATCCACAAATTCATAAATTTGCGGCAAATTTTACAGAACATACTTGTAATAAAATCTGTCCTGGCTTCATCAGTCCAGTTAACATGGGGTTCTTGCTGTATATCTGATGTGGCTGTGTTAAGCAAGCAACTGGGGCCTCATAAGTTGTCTTGTGAAGTACATTTATATAAATTTTACAAATGAGCTGGCACGGTGGCTTGTGCCAATAATCCCAGCAAGTAGAGAGTCTGAAACAGGAAGATCCTGAGTTTAAGGCCAGCCTCATCAATTTAGCAAGGCCCTCAGTAACTCAGAGAGACCTTGTCTCAAAATAAAA